CCTAAATACTGTTAAATGAATTAAGTAATTAAAAACATAATTAAAAAAATAACATAATTATGTTTTTAATTACTTAATTCATTTAACAGTATTTGACTTAATGGAAAGAAGAGCTGATTTCCATTACTTTCCCATCCTTTTTGGTAATGATATTCGAGAAATTTTTAAGAAGATTCGCTTAATTGAAGCTATGAAATGTCACATCCATATCTAACTTGATGAATGATAGATACACTATACCGAAAACAAAACAAAAACATGAGAACACAGCTGTTTGGCGATTGTCGAGAACGCTCCTTTAACGCCAATAGAAATTTCCGCTAATTGCTTCCAATCATTGGTAGGGTCTGCTTACACGCCTCCCCAGCACCCCTTAGATTTCAAAACTGACTTTGGAAGAATTTGTACATGTTAAAAACCCTAATTTAATTTTTTTTTAAAAATAGAGAAAGAATTTTGTTTCATTTGAAAAAGAAATATTTAGTTTAGAACACAGAGAAAAATGTTAAAACTATCAAAATTTAAAATAATGAAAAATTCCGGGGGAGAAAAAACTATTCCTATAATTAAATAATATGTATAAGTAATTAAATATATTTAAAACTTATTATCCTAAACATTGTATAAGATCCTACTCGAAAACTTGATAAGAAACTGTAGTATTCACCTTCATACGGAATGACCCAAATCAAATTGAAATATTATTTTTAAGAAAAGGATTATTAAAATATTATTAATATGGAAAAAATAATTTTATCGTCTTTTACAGAACGTTCGCACAAAGGGTAATAAATGAGTTAAAATGACGTTTTCTTTTTGAAAAAAGTAACCCTAAATTCAATACATTTTAGAACATACCGATGATTTAATTCTAAAGGAAATATATGATGTTAAGAAAAATATTTTTCCATCTGTTGGATAACTTTCACCACATTGGCTAAAGACATCATAAATTAATTAGAAGACCTAATTTAGAAGAACGTTTTTTCCACATTTAAATACATATTTAAGTAATACATCCTTGTTGTTGGTAGGTCAAGGTTGAACCGCTGTCCATTTCAATTAGTCCCCCTTTTTTTATTATTATTAATATTAACATGATTTGCAAGAAGATTGTCATTTCTCAGCACAGATGTACTGTCTATTCGGTTGAAAGTATGTTAAATTCAGTCGACGCGGAATTGACCAATTCACTTCCGCCCAGCTTTACGTAAATCTTAATTATTTTTATTATTCTAATCTCAGGTTAATCATTCAAATATTCACTGTGGAATCGTTCACATATTACGCAATGGGGTGAAGGGATTTGTGATTTGATTTTTTTTTAAAACGGTGGCAGAATTTTTTCGGGTTTTCTATGACATACCTCTCTAGTACCTTTCTGCAAGATACTTTTATTAATTACAAATATGCATGTTACTAATTTAAGTAACAGAAGCGTCCACTTCAAAAGAAAAGAACTTTCCGGAAAAAATAATGTAAAATTTTTAAACTGAATATGTAATATTTTTTTTTTTGTTCTAATATAATGAACGATATTCTCGCATTTTGTAGGGTGGAAAGGTAGAAGGAATTTAAAAACAATTAAAAATAGCAGTAACTACCGAAAAAATAAAAGATCGCAAATCGGACACAAATCGAACTCTTTAAAAATGGCATTTACAAATGCGTGTTTTGTAAAAAAATGTGTGGAAATCAATAGCAATAGCTGCAAAAAAGAAGAAATAGAATGCAAATTTCTGTAGGAAAGAAAACCAAAATTTTTACTTCATTCATACCTAAGAATAGATAAATTTGCGAGGGATTTTTTCCCCCTCTCCGATGCGCGAGATTGGCATCTTTTTGAATATGATTCTCGAGAAAAGATAAAATTTTTCGAAAACTTCTGCAGGGAAGAAAACCAATTTTTTTTTACTTCCCAAAAGGAAAATTTTTTCTACAAGCACTCAGCAACATTGTGACAATGTCGCCGTGATTCTGCCACGGGGAAGAATATGAGCAATACTTATATAAATCATGCCGTTACGTAATGAAGATTAAATGAAGATTAAAACATATATACAATAAGATAAAAAAAAAAGAATGTATCGAGTCATTCACATCTGTTGAGAATTTCATTAAAAATTCCCTCTTTTTACAGGCCTATACTGTATTGTTCTTCCTTAATTATCATTTAAACTAATGAGCAGACAATATTTAATTGGACATATCATATAAAAAACGAGAAAAAATAAAATTTCATATAAAAAATTAGAGAATTCTAAAACTTTTTTTTGTTGAACGATTTGTTTTTTGGGTGATTTTAGAGCTTCTAAAATACAGTAGAGTAACTTTATTTTTAAAAACAAACAGAGAAAAAAATAATGTTGAAGGAATAATGCAGCGAAAAGTCAGAATTTTAGTCCCAACTATTCATGTATTATAACCCTCGTTGAACAGTCGACGCAATTTTTGGGTTTACCACTACTAATGTTCAACTACGTAGACTTATAATTTTGAACCCAGTCCAGAAGACAAGGGAACTCCTGGATCAAGCATTGGGAGAAATTTTGCCTTCGTGGAGGACTTTTTGATGGAACTAACCCGCATTTGCGTGGCATATAGAGGAAGACCACGAGAACCTCTCGCGGTTAGCCTGACGGCAAAGGGACTCTAACACATGATCCGTCTACCACTGAGGATATTTCACATCAGCACTGTGGTGGGTGCAAGCCAGATGCGGAATTCGTATCGACCAGCCATCGCTGGAATTCGAACCTGGTTTACTGGAAGGCGAACGCTCTATCCCCTGAGCCATCGCTATTCATGTAATAAAAAACTTGCATATGGCGTGAAAAACAAGAGGACCGTTAAGATATTCAGCAAGCACTTAAGGAGGGGGGTTGTTATTTGCCTATTATTACTGATGAGTATTTGCTTACCCCTAATTTAAAAAAAAAACTTTTATTTTTCAATTGTTTTAATTAAAAAAGAGGAAACAAATATTTGGAATGAAAATCAGCTAAAGAAAGATTTTTCCAAAGAGTTTTCAAAATCAAAAGTCTTGACTGTCACAGAAGGAAAAACACGAAAGAATATTTCGCATTTTACTAAATATTGATGAAATAAAACAAGAAATGTTGTTTTAATGCAAAATTACATCGTATATTTAAATCGTTGCTGCAAAAGTTAAAGCAAAAAACAAGCGGAAGAGGGAAGGGTAGTTGAGGTTTAAGACTTGCTTATCGTTGTAGGGAGTTGAAAATTGGCATGCTTACATTTACAGTGAAACAGATAAAAAGTGGGCCCCCACGGGTAATAATCAGAAACATTCATATTCCTCGCCGGTTTTTGTTTAGGTTTCTTTTATGAAGTTCTTTGATTTTTATTAAACGATTTGACGATAAAGCCTCTTGCAACAATTCAAACAACTCACCAGGTAAAAATTTGTAGCATTCAAACAATTTACCTGGTAACAATTCGCGAAACTCAAACAATTCATCAGTGAAAAATTTAATAAGTTTTCAAGAGTGTGAAAATCGCCGTTTGGACGGCTTATTCTATCTCTCATAAGTCAAAGGAATAATCCGTCTCACTTTGATAAACGCCATTTCGCAATGAGCCTGGCTAACTGAGAAAAAAACCAGTATTTTCTAATCAGCCTGGCACTTTTAGGCTTATCGAAGTGTGCACAATTAGCCAGAATTTTTTCTAGCAGTTTGCAATAACTAATTCTTCGCAAACTTCATATAAGGCCAGAGGAAAATAGGCTGATTGTAATAAGCGCCATCTATACGTAAAATGCATCGGATGATTTTCGGTTCATAGGTCATTATAGGGTGTAAAAAAAGAAAGAAAAATTTTTTACGGCTAATTCTTTTTCACCTACGGAAGTAATTTAAGTTTAAAGAAAAGGTAAAACATTAAGTTTTAAATGCTGAAAAAATGTTTTCAGAATTATGAAAAGATTAATAAGATATTGTATTATATTTTGAAAACATTTTATTGGTATCTGAAATTCTTGTTTCATCAGAACTTAAATTTAAAATTACTAATTCAAGGAGAAAAAAAGTTTGACACGAAAAGTTTCGCTTGCGCTTTAGCAATGCCCTTTTACTGGTATTTTTTTTTAAACCATTAATAAGGTTTTCTTGATGCTCTGTCGCTATGAAAACTAAAAAAGACACAGTTTAAAGGCTTTACACTTGAAGCAGAGTAATGATTTTAAATAATATAGATTACCTTGGCGTAAAGAATTACCAATGTTTTAGAACTGACAAATAACTTAAATATTTTTAAAGTTATTAAAATGTTTAAAAAATCGCCATTTCGGCAACATTTTTCAACCCAGATAAAAATTATCAAAATCATTGCCTTGTTCTAAGTTTTTGAAAATTTCTATGCTGCCAACTAATGCAGCATTGGAGTAAGTTTTTAAATATTATACAATTAGTCCACAAACACTTTGTATTTTTACAAAATTGTGGCTTTTCTCCATATTGACGTTTAGCGCCATTTTCAAAATAAGTATGCACAACGCTAGCAATTAGATAGGCTTAACTTGTCCTAACAGTCATAAGTTAGTGTAGCAAACTCAAAGCAGTTATGAAAATAGCATATTATCAGCAAAACAGCATCATTTCTCATGAATGAACCTTCGAATAGTGAGCCTTCGATGATGGAGTCTTCAAAAAACAGCCTTAAAAACGCACGATGGTAAGAGGTCGCAAAATCAAAATGTTAGATTAGCTTTTTTCCTGAAAAGGAGAGAATGGATCACAATTACCGGATCAATTTTTTTTTCCTGAAAAGGAGAGAATGGATCACAATTACCTGATCAATTTTTTTTCCTGAAAGGGAGAGAATGGATCACAATTACCTGATCAATTTTTTTTTTTCCTGAAAGGGAGAGAATGGATCGCAATTACCTGATCAATTTTTTTTTCCTGAAAGGGAGAGAATGGATCACAATTACCTGATCAAATTTTTTTCCTGAAAGGGAGAGAATGGATCACAATTACCTATCATAGTTCCAACAATGAGAAAGACAGCACTGAGGAGTCCTACTTCCCTTTTTAATCGCACTTCCTCTTTCTGTCCCACAGGACTTTTGAGACTTTCTCCTTCTTCATCATCATCCAGGGATCGACCCCTTACACGATCTAGAACACCACCTGTCCATTAAAAGAGAGATTTATAGTTAGTCCGGCATTTTTAAAAGTAGCATCGGTTATAAAATGAAAAACTTTCTATCAACACAAAACCTCAATGGATACCAGCAAGTGACGTAGTGTGGGTGTCTCGATAACAACTGTTACTAAACAACTGTAACAGCTTACGTTAACAACTGTTCTTTCCATTCTATTTCGAGCAAGCAAAGCCCGTCAAGTATCAATTCTCTTCTAAAGTGACACACTCCAAATTCTTTCTCAAAGATTTCAACTGTTTCACAACATATTTACACAGAGACTTAACACAAAGACGGGCACGAAGCCATGGAGAACATAAACAAACTAAGTATGCATCGAAGCTGCCAGGTACACAAACCAAAAATACATCACAGTCACACTAAAATGCATAAACAAATAATAAATCTAAGTTAAGTAAGCAGTCAAGTCAGAGCCGGATTTTGCCTTTCGTAGGCCCTAGGCACAGCCGTTTATGGGCCCTCCCCTCCATCCCCCACTCCTCCCCTCTTTTCAAAATATATGCTAACATTTTCTTCGTATGGAAACGTATTACGCCATTTTAGATGTATTAATTTCAGAAATGACTAAAAGGCATAAAGCTTACAGTGATTTGTACGATAATTTCGGTTTTCTTGTTAACAAAAATTTGTCAGAATCTGAGATTAAACTAAAAGCGCAAAATTTGATGAAAATTTACTCATCCGATTTAGAGGAAAACTTTGTAGATGAATTTTTACTATTTTCAAATTTGTATGAACATAAATCTGCACAAGAAATGTTGAAGGCTCAAATTAAAGATAAACTTGTGAATACTTTTCCTAACGTTCACATTGCATTAAGAATATATTTGTCGATTCTTGGATCAAATGCAGAAGGAGAAAGATCTTTCTCCAGATTAAAATTGATAAAAAATTATTTGCGTTCAACAATGAATCAAGATCGTTTGGCATCACTCGCACTTATGTCTATTGAATACGACATTTTGCGTAGTTTGGAATTCGACAGCATAATACAAGATTTCGTTGAATCCAAAAATCGCAAAAAAGTAATATATTAGATCATAAGATTCTGCAAAATAATTTATTACCGTAAAATATTATATTTTAATTTGTATCTTTATAATTTTGTGCAAAATACACTTGTTGTTTTTAAAGCTAAACTATTTTTGACAACAAATTTTTTTCTCCCAAGTTTTTCGTAGGCCCCTGAATTTTGTAGGCCCTAGGCACGTGTCTAGTGTGCCTATAGGTTAATCCGGCCCTGAGTCAAGTAGACGAAGAAGTAGTAACAACCGTAAGTAGTAAAAAGTAAGTAGACGAGGAAGAATTACATTTCAATTAATTCGATGTGCGATACTGGCTCTATATTTAATTAACTTATCGTTAATTGTCTTTCTAACTTATGTAGAAAAACTTAGCTCAACTTTAGTACGCCCTTTTACTGATAAAGATTAGCTGACGCCATGGGTCACATGAGAGGGTATAGGAGGTCTTCTAAAAGCGCAAGTACCCAATTTTTAAAAAAAATTCGGCAAGAATTGTTTAACTCTTTGAGCTAGTTTCAACCCTTTCGTCACCTCATTTTCACGAAATTCGGTTGAAAATCAATTTCGAAAGATTTCGTTTGATTTTCGAAACGAGATTTTTTGTTTTAATTTTTTTACTTTTGTAAAATTCAATATTGATTCATATCACAGGAATAATTTTGGTAAAAAAAAAAAAAGAGAAGAAAACCAAAAAAGCAGAAAAGGGAAATCTAACAATATTACGTGCAAAAACTCTTTTTAAATGAAAAAAAAAAACCTGAAACTTGATCAATAAAAAAGTGCATGTGGAATACATTTATCCACAAAATATTACAAACGTTTTAATAAAAATATCGATGCGAGATTTTCTTTATTTGTTTGTTTAAATTGTGTGAATATGAATCTCAATGTGTAAATTTTAAATCAAGCGAATACGAATTTCGACATTTAATTTTAAAAAAACAGCGTGAAGACGAATCTCGATGTTAGATTTTAAAATCGCGTGAATACTAATTCCGATGCATAATTTTTAAGTCACTTAAACACGAATTATAATAATGGCACTTAAATCGCACAAGCACGAAACGCGATGTTTGATATAAAATCGTAAAAATAAGAAACACGATGCGCGATCTTAAATCGCCTAAATAGGAATCACGCTGCGTGATTTTAAATCATGCGAATGTAATTTTAAATCGCGTTTGCAATGGAAGTAAAATGCGTTAAAATTAATAATTTTTTTTTTGGGGGGGGGGGGAAATCGAAAAAGACAAACTTTCTATGAATAGGCTGATTTTTTTCACTTTTAGTAACAGTAAAAAAGTATCCGCGATGGTGACAACTTGTTCGCACATATTATACAAGTCTGAACTAGTGAAAGATATCGTTGCGGGGAAGCGATTTCTCAAAACTAATGCACAAATTAAATTGATTTTCTTCTGGACATTAAATTAAAAACAAAAATTATAACTAGCTGCTTTTAGTAATCAGCTTGGTCACCTTTCGAAATTATCTTGTTCAATTACGTATAAACTTTAATGGTAAACAAACTGAATGCACAGAACAACTCTATTTAAATATTCTAATTCATCAAACCTTTCTCCTATTCCAAAACTTTTATTAGTTTTTAAACAGTATATTAATCAAATGTTTTTCGTTGTCTAGCTGCTGCCCGGGCTAATATACTTTGATTTCAATGTTAACTATTTTTAAGAGATGTCCGTGATATTGTATAAGTACTCTATGTATTGAATTTTAGAGCGATAAATCGATGCATCGGAAAAATATCGAATCTATGCAATCATCGCTAATCCGATGTTTGGATTGGCATCGGAAAGCATGATTGAGATGTGTACGATATTTCCGGATGTATCATTGACATCGGTGTCTACAGGCGCGATGTTGAGCGCTGTTTCCGATAGTACATCGATGTCTGCAAGCTAGCGCGAAGAGCATTTTCTTCAGTATAAGTGCAGTGATAGCAGTGGCGATGATCGTTATCTTTCACCGCCTTTTTTACATGGTGACTCATCATTTTGCTGACATGATGAATCCGAATGCGATTGAAAATCGAAGTATTGTTGAATCTCTTAGTTATGGAAGGGTTTTCTTTTAATTGTATATGTGCAAAAGCTGTTGATTTTTTTTCTTTTAAACAATCAATTCAGCCGTTTGATGTTTTTTAACTGCTATTTTGCATATATCCACGTCTTTAAATATTGAGCAATAATTATAAAAAAATGCAACTTACCAATTGCGAATTTACGCAGTACTAAATACAAAACATTAATGTACCGAAACATCGCGATGCATCAAAATATCGCGATGTTTGCATGACGTTACATCGCGATGTCAAAATCTTAACGCCACCCAGTCCTCATGTCCAGAAGCCTTTAAATCCCTCAAACCACCATCAGTATGAGTTCGAGACGCTTCAGCACTGTAGGCGGCAGAAGTATTAAAATTATTTCCATCTCTGTCGCGTGTGATTGCATAGGAAACTCACTGCAATGCTCCATTTACGTGCTTGCACTACTTTCTCACGCAACTCTCGAGCCATAACTTATCGTATAGCTGCATATATTTATAGATGCTATAGCTCGAAAAATGTAAGTTTTGCCATCAATAATTGGTACGACAAAATGCGGCATCATAGCACCGTTCATTGTTTCAAAATTCTGCAGCCATTTTGGATAGGGATCGAAAATAAATCTAAATAATTACATACAACAAAGTTTTTATTTCTATAAAAATTCAAAATGATTCTAAATGAACACTTAATGGTTAATGAATAACTATTCAACACTACTTAAATTAAGACAATCTAACAAAACGAAAAATAACTATAGCTTTGTAGCTTTTGAAAGGGAAATAACATTAATAAAAAATTTTATAATTATAATTTATTCTAATTTTAATAATTTATAAATTGAAATAGAACTTTATTTGGAGTAAATTTGGTAGCTCAAGAAAGAATTAGAAGGAATTCAACATAACAGAGCCAAGTAGTTATAACATCATTGATCAAGATTTTAGTTCTAAAACAACTTTGCGCACTACAAAGAAAGAAAAAAAAAAAGAATTTTTTCAAGCTTTTTTTTTTAACTTGAATAACTAGGACGAACTAAAAGTATTTTATTTGAAAATCAGGGCAAAGAAGGTTTCTTAATGCGAAAAGATGTTTACTCTTGTCGCGGTTTAACAGAAGGTCTAACAGACCTTTGGAAGAATTCCAGTTTTTACTCAATTGACAGCACTTAATTGTTCACTTTACTTTTTGCAAGGACTTTTTCTCGATAATTATTTCAATATTATTAAATATCTCCTCATATTAAACGAGGAGAGTCCTTCCGTGAACAAGACTAATATTTCTTATCGAATCCTTAGAAAGTATTAGTATTACTTGAAAAATATTATATTCTACTGTTTTTTAAGACGAATAGCTTTAAAATTACATTTGATATTAAAAATTAAAAAATATATTTTGCACAAAATATGGATATTTATGGAAAGTTTTTATCTTAAAAGAGCTGGTGTACATATATACAGATAGATATACATATATACAGATAGATATACATATAGACAGACAGACAGACAGACAGACAGACAGACAGACAGACAGACAGACAGACAGACATATATATATATATAATATTTTTAAGTTAAAAAATATTGTGGCAAAAAAATTAAATTTGTTCTAATATGATGTAAATTTTGTGAAAGAAAATGTTGAAGAAGTGTTTCTTATAAGAATTTCAGAGATCAAGAGGGTTGAACACAAAAGGAAAATACAACAGATACCTAAAATATGTTTCACTAAAAATTCCATAAAATAAATTTAAAAAAGATTTAGCAATTTATTCAAAATTTTGTAAAATATATTGAAACGTAAGTTTCGTTCTATATAAAGTTACATCGTTTATTTGAATTTAATAGTAAAATTAGATAACTACTGTAA